CTGTGGGTGACCCTGCTTGGGCAGGGGGTTGGGCTGGGTGACCCACAGAGGTCCCTGCCAACCCCGACCATGCTGGGATTCTGTGATTCCACAATGGCGCGAGGGCAGAGAGGGGAGGAGAACGCGTTGCCTTTCTGCTTTGTGCATGAGACTGAAATTCTTTTTCTTTCTCCTTTTTACTGAAAGTTTGAAAAGTCGGAGGTCGCCGGCATCGGTGCTTATTCCTCGGAAGCGAGAGGTGGGTCAGCAAGCAGACAAGGTAATGCTCCTGGCAGTGATGGACGGCAGTAACGCATCCGTACCGGCGCGTGGTCCTCGTCTCCGGGTCCTGCTGCTGGGTAGCTGCAGAGCACTGCCCAGCGCAGGGCGCTTCCCATCCTGCTCAGAGTACAGCTAACATTAAAAGTCTCGCTTCTGTCAGGCTTCCTAGAAAGAAACGGACTCACAGGCGGGTTTATTTAAAGCCATAAATACGTAATACATGTCTGTGGTGTAGGCGCAGGGCGTTCGCGTGGAAGGCGCAGGGCGTTCGCGTGGAAAGCTGCCTTCCCAATAATAGATTTCCAGTGCCCTTAAAAAGTCCAAAGTCCCTTGGATTTCCTGGGTTTCATAAAAACGCATCGACAGAAATAACACGGTTGAGGGTAGCCCCTCTGGGGGGAAGCCTGGGAGATTTTCAAGGAAGTCCCACGGAGAACTAGTGAAGAGCACTTTTCTTTGGGTACTTGTAGATACAACGGCACTTTTGCTGATAACGTAGCAGGAGCCGTAGTAAGAAACTGGGTATTTATCATGCTCTGTCTGCCTGTCTGGGAAGTACGGGAAGTGTTAAGGGCTGAGGAACCTGAAGCTGCTCCAGCTGTCGTGGATGGAGTTGGGGAAAGCTTATAATAGATATCTCTTTGAGATATAATAGAGATTTTTTGTCGTGACAAAGCTGGCTACCGGGTTTGTGCGACGACATAGATCGCTCTCATCCTGGTGGACGTCGATCGTCCGCTGCTCTAGGTCAGCGTGAGAGGGGAGGACGTCGGGCAGCCTGCGTTCGTCTGGCTCGCTGCAGCCAAAGAGGGGAGTACCCGAGTGGAGCGCAGCACTGCATCGCCAAATTAACGCATCTGAGATGCCATCAAGCAGGGCTATGTTTCACTGTTTCAGAACCATGAAGTGACAGCTTTTTGCCTTATGTTCGCTCTGCAACGTGCCGGAGGAAAGCAGCTCTCCGAAAAGCTTGCGTTTGTTGGTTTAACTTCAAAACCAGTCTCCAGGTTGTGAAATAATCTCATCTTGATTACTGCCACTAATATTTTATTTCTTGCCTGCTTTTGTGGTCCGAGTGGCTGTCTTTTCAGCAATGCCATATTTAACTTCGTTTCAGGCACTTTTAATTGTCGGTGTTGGTGTCTGTCAAGCAAAAGGTGTGAAATACCGGTCCTCCTGTGGTCAGCTGCAGCGTTGTCTGTGCATGAAGATCTGAGGGCAGTTATTTGTTTTTTTGAGACCTCAAGAATACCTTAGTAATGCTGGCCCCATGTACTGCGCAGGCTTCATTCTGCTGATTTTCTCCTTAAAATTTTTCTGTGCACTAATGAAATTCCATGCTCCTCTTATTTGAATTCTCCAAATCAATAGATTGAGGAGAGTGCCTACCTGTAGGTATTTTATATTGTCATTGGCATTGCCTCCTGCATTATAGATCCTGTATTACAAAGATTGGGTGTTTAAATTATTCTTCAATGCTACACTTCATTTTCTCACACTAAACACATTGGCTTTTATTATACCAAAGCATTCCAGACATTAATATATCTTTTCTTTTATTTCCCTGACTTGTAAACCAGGTTCAGCTGCAAGCATCACTTTGCCTCCTGCTGCTACAACAAAAGGCCTCCTTCAGGTAACCAGAAACCAGGAGCAGTTTTATGCTTGGTTGTTAGTTACTTCCAAAATTAATCTCCATCATTTTCTTCAGGTTGCACCTACGTCGTCAAGCATAACGGAGCAGATGGAAACTTCTAAAAGGAGCGAGAAGGCAAAGACTACGACTTCGTCTGCACACACGGATAATGTAACGCAGATATCTGCGGCAGATGGGGTGATAAATAACCTTCAGAGGGATGACTCTCTAGACTCTGGTTCCTATGGAAAACAGGCTGAGGCTCACGATAGCGGCACACCAGCCAAAACTATTGGCAGGTTTTCAGTGATCAGCACGCAAGATGAATTAACTTTAACGGCGCCGCACTGCTTGAGGTTCTCGGCGCCGCCGGACGTCTATTTGGAGCTGCCTTCCAGCCCTGATCTGAAGACAGCCGTCCGACGGGTGCAGACGGCCTCTTCTGTCGATGTCCTCTGTGACCAGGGCTCGAGCGATTCTGCTGAGGAGCCTTTCCGCCGGCAGTCGGCCGCCGCGGCTCAGCTGTCCCCCCCGAGCAGCAGTGCAGCCACGGACTTAATTAAAAAAGCAGCTGCTTTCCTGCAAAGATCGGGCAAAGGTACCTCGCCAGGCCTCGATTCGCCTAACGGGCAAGGAACAAAAATTCCTACCATCAACATAACGTCTTTCCACTCGCAGTCGTCGTACATGAGCAGCGACAACGACTCGGAATTTGAAGACGCAGATATGAAGAAGGAATTGCAGAACCTGAGAGAAAAGTACGTCGGGTTTGCAGACAACGCTAGGGAAGCTCGTGCTAAGATACGTAGGCAGCACCTCTGCATGTGATGAGCAAATACGTGGTTTTCATAGCTGTAAGGAGTAAACTGGTGCTGGCACATCGGGCCTCGCTAGGACCTTCCCCCAGATGTCATGCTGCATCCTCTCGTGCATCTCTGCAACGCTAGGGAAGCTCATGCTAAGATACGTAGGCAGCATCTCTGCGTGTGATGAGCAAATACGTGGTTTTCATAGCTGTAAGGAGTAAACTGGTGCTGGTACATCGGGCCTCGCTAGGACCTTCCCCCAGATGTCATGCTGCATCCTCTCGTGCATCTCTTTCTTTGTCAGTTCTGTTTAGAAGAAGAATTTGATCGTATGTGGACGCTGTTTAAGGCAGCATAAAAATAATCCGGATGCCTGCGTGGACAGCCGCCGTAGGGTTCTCTTCGGGCCCTTCCCTGCAAGGGGGTGGTTTAGACTGCCAGGTCTACAGACCCGTCGCTGTGCCCAGGCCTGCTTTGACAGCAGCAGGCGCTCGGGGAAGACCCTCGCCTCCAGCCGGATCTGTCAGCGAGGCATCGGTCCCGTCCCTGCAGGGGGCTGGGGGAGCCTGGCAGGGGTCTGTCGTGCTGCCAGTCCTCAGAGCTGGCTGCCTCATGTTTGAGCATTTTCTTTATTTTTCCTGGCAGGTGATGGGTGAAAACCAGCATTAGCTGCTTGTTTAACCAGAATGTTAAATCTTATCTTAAGGTAGAATGGTTTTACTGAATACAGATGATGCATCTTTTTAAAAACAGAACTAGAGTAATACAAAACCTTTAAACTGACTTGATGGCATCATAGAATCTGTGTTATAAATAAGGTAGCGGTTGATGTGCTGATGGCATTTTTATGGGAAGCACTTTTGTTTTTCCTCACGTTGAACCCCTTCAAACTGATGTACGTGCCTCGAGAGTTAACTTTTTTGAGGCCACTGGTTTGAAGAGAGAAATTCTGGGATAGTTTGGAGTTCCTGTCAGATCTTCTGTCAAAATCAATGGATTTTACTGAGGATGCTGAAAATCTTTGTAGCTCTCTAGGTTTCTGTCTTACGAATGAGTATTTGAAAGGTCAGTCGCCACATTTGCCAGGTAGATTGTTATAACTTCACACGCTTTTGGATGAGCAGTTGATCATTCTATAACCAAGGACTGTTTTCTTTCTCTTTTTTAATAACTAATTCTGCTGCCAAGATGTGGTGCTTTATCAGATACATTGCTAGCAGAGTTCTGTATTTTTTGTGTTTAGGCATATGAAGGAAATTGCTGAACTTCAGACTCAGCAGAAGAACGAGATAGAGGCACTCTACATTCGGTTGGGGAAGCCCCTTCCTCCCAACCTGGGCTTCCTTCACTCAGCCCCACCAAGCGGCCGTCGCCGAAGAACCAGCAAAAACAAATTGAAAGGAGGAAAACTACTGAACCCTCTGGTCCAGCAGCTCAGGAGTGGGACATCAAGCACAAGTAGGTGCCCTGGGTTGCTTTCCCTATGCCTGTGGTTCGTGTCAGTTGGGGTTCTGCCGTGTAATTGCACGGACTGCAGGGAAGGCACTGAATTTTTATTATTTCTAATACTATGACTCAAGTTTGCCTCCCGCGAACTGGTTTTGAAGTGGGCTTCGTGTGGGGCAGGCTTGCTGCTGCTGCCCAGTGCCGCACCATACACACCTCCTCTGCGTCGGCTGCAGCGCTTGGCAGGGAAGCAGTATTCCACTGTAACTTGGAATACAGCCTGGTCACGGTTTTCTCATCCTTCCTCCAAATGCAATTTATTGGTGTTTGTATTCACTTCGTAGGTGCTGTTATCCTCTATCGATTATGTGCTGTATCTTGTTATTTATTTTTTTCTACGAGTTGCCATATATATAAGATTGGATTGCATTTGCTCCCCCGAAGGATGGGAGGTAAAAACAGTTAGAAAACTGTGATGGATGCTTTGAGCATCTGAAGTAGTTGGAGATTTTTCAAACAGTACTACAGCATTGAGTTATTATCTCTTTGAAAGTATAAAGATGTAATTCAGCTGGGAAATGTTGATACCCCCCAGTACCTACTTCTTCAGCAAAATATAGACCAGAACGTGAGTAATTTTTGTGGAATTTAGTTTGTGCTGTGAGTCGGAGGAGCAGCAGCACTTCCAGCATTAAGCCTGTGTTTCAAACCTGGTAGCGCTTGTTGTCAAAGCCACTGCATCGTAGGTCCACTTCAGATTTCATTGCGTCGATCTTAATTATAGACAGAGTGTTTTGGAGGGTTTTGCTTTGGATTGAGGATCCCAGCTGAGATGGGGAAAGCAAAGATGTTCAGAGGCAAGGTGTTCTCTGCTGCATCTTGAATCTGGGCGTTCTTGCCTGCAGGAGCTGAAGCAGTGGTTGGTGCTTGCTGCCTCTCGCTGCGGCGCGGCTGGCGGGCATAGCTTTTGCTTCCTCTCTGTGGGATGAGATGTTCTGAACATCTGTAATCCCCTAGCTCTCTCCAGCCATTTTTCCCTCTGTTCACAAACCCCACATCTGTGTCTCCCCTCACGGGTCTTGGCTCATATCAGCGTGCTACCTTAGTCCAAAGAATTTAAGCTTATTTCTGCATAAAATGTCCCAATTCTCCATTATGTTTTTTTCCGTGTCACCTTCAGGTAGAGAACAGAAACCTGCTCGATCAGGTGGCTACTCTGGCACATGCTTTCCCTCATGCGTTTCTTCTCTGTTATGTTTTTTTAATTTTTTGAGGCCCTGCGTAAAGTTCGCATCATCTTTGAGAATCTGTGTTCGTGCCTGAGGCTTCTCATCCTTCTCTATGCAGATTGCTCATTCTCTGGCCCTCTGAGGCCCCTTCTCAGGGGATGAGGGCAAGCAGTTTCTAACACAGCTACTGATCATAGAATTATTAAGGTTGGAAAAGACCTCTGAGATGACCAAGTCCACCCGTCCCCCCAATGACACCATGCCTGCTAAACCATGTCCTCAAGTGCCACATCCACACGGTTTTTGAACCCCTCCAGAGATGGGGACTCCTCCACTGCCCTGGGCAGCCTGGTCCAACGCCTGACCACTCTTGCAGTAAAGAAATTTCTCCTAAAAATAGTAATTGTTGTTTCCAGTGTTAGATGCTTTTGCTGATAATTCCACCTAACAAATGATTACAGAGTTATTCTGGTGTTAAAGCCTCTTTCCATGTAGATAGATATATAGATAAAAGTATTTATGTATAGCCAGGTATCTGTCTGTCTATAGATAGCTGTAAATAATTCCTCATGTCTTTGCCATGCCTTTTTACTTCCCTCCATTTCCTTGCTTTCGCTTTTCAGTTTTGAGAGCAAACCTACATGTTCTGCTCAGCCATTCTGCGCGTTCCTCCTCCTACTTAGACCCTTGTGTGGCTCCCACTGTGTTTCGGCAGTGCTCCTTGTGAGCTCCGGACTCCAGCCTTTCTGACAAATGCAGAAAAGAAACTGTAAAAATCAAACCTGCTCCGAAAATGCGAACGTCACGCTGGATCAGCGATAGTGCTATCCGTAAAGTCTGCGCTTTGTGCGGTACTTCAGAATTGCAAGCCGCTGTTCTTCGTGCTGCCAAATTAGCGGTTATTTTTAGGCGTGGGGTTTTACT